GGTGGGTGGGTGGGTGGGTGGGGCTGCGGGGGGGCGAAGCTTGAAACACTTTAAAAGCTGGAGCCCTGCACTCTAAATGCCAGCCGTGTCCCCCAAGTCACTCGGGCTGAGGGCTTATAGGGCTTCGGGTATCAAATCCTGCCCGTTTACAGGCCTTGCATGATGAGGGGCCGCAGAGATACTTCGCAGCTCCTTGGGCCACACCGACTGTGCCCGCGTGAGATCTACACACGTCCATTGGGTTGTTTGGGCCGATAGTCTCAATATGCCCATGGCTTACGTTTTCTGTCTGTTCATAAATATTCGGGCTTGGGGGTGACAGCTGACAGGCTTTATAGTCTTTATAGACTGTTTCATCGATGAAACAACCTTCCGCAGAAATCGCCCGAGGTGCTCACCAAGAGAAATGAAATGGCAAACAGGCCAGCGGCCAGGGACTTTACAATTTATGGCGCAAAGAAACCCTAGCAGGTCCCTCCCAACCATAGGCTCGAAACACCAAAGCCTGGTACCTTCAACCCGTCCTTTGAGTCTACCATCCCCGGGTTGGGGGAGGGTCAAGGCTTGTCGAACCCGTTACTTTAGGGCCGAAGGCTTTTCCATCACATGCTTGAAGCCATGACCTGCCCAAAGCCCTGAGCCTAAGCCCTATGCAAGCAAGTTTGCAGTATGGCCCACAAGGGAGTTCCTGAAGTGTCTGCCCTCTGCACTCTGGGAGCTTCGCACCTTGAACCTCCAAACCTTGCTGTTGGAGTTCGTATCATCAGCATGAACGCTGCACCCTCGAACAGCTGAATCATATTGGGTTTAGGTCTTGAGGCACCTCGTGTGTCTCGTTGAGTCGCAAATCTGGAGAGTTCGCACGAGGTTCCCCCCTGTGGCTGCTGTCTCTGGTTTTGCTACAGGCTGCTTCCGCCTGTGGTTGTCTTGAATGGGCCGAGCTGAGCTTGTCTCTGACTAAAGTGGACTAATGTCATGTGAATGCGAGACTGCGAGAGTATGCCTGCTTCTCTGAGTCATCTCTGAGTTTCTACCCTTGAAAGACTCGGGGTGGGTGGAGGTTCAGCTCTTTGAGGCTTCCGTAGCAGCCGTAGCAGCCGTAGCAGGGTTTCGAGGGTAGAAAGACGGGGTCGCGAGAGGAGCGCAAAGCAACGGGGACCCGAGGAGCGAGATTGGAATCCTTGCAGGATCACAGGGCTTCAGAAGCTTTTCAAGCTTTTCAAGCCGAATGCCTGCGCTTACAAGCCCTGGGTGCGGACTTTCTTTCGCAGCCTTTGGGCCATGGCACTAACACACACAGAGCGAAGGGCTACAGGTAGAGGCACATGAAAGGTGATGATCCATGCAAGACATTGCCCACATCGTCCAGACAGCTTTTCCATGCTTTTCTCGACATTTGCGAATCTTCCACTCGTCGCCAGGCCCCATCACCTCTCTGCCTGCCAGCTGCTGTGCGTTTCTCGAGCTCCGGTCTGACAAATCTCAGATGGCAAGCTCGCGGAATTCATAAATACCACAGGGCTGACTCTGAGGAGCCAATACAGGGATCGAGGGAGAATGCAAGGAGTTAGGCTTTGGTGCCTCAGGGATTCTGGTATGAATTACGGTTCGGGTGTTCCTTGCAAGGGTTGCCGGTGGAAGAAGGGGAGCAGTGTACACCTCCAAAAGTTAAAAGGCTAGGGGCAGGTATCGTGTTACGGTATGTTCACGACCTTCAGCTGCGGTGACGTTGTCAAGCAAGTGGAGGGCGGCCAAGCCCCCGGAGCCACAGGGGTATTATAAAAGTGCTGTTTAATATCGTTTTTTCAGAAAAAACCCCTCCATCTACCCCTCCATCCACCCCTCCCCTCCTCCGCCCCTCCACCCACCCCTGGCGGGGCTGCTGGGCGGAGGGGGAGGGCTGGAGGTGGATGTGGAGGGGTGGAGCGGGGGAAGGGGGAGGGTGAGGGGAGGTACAGGGGTGGAGGGGTGGAAGGGAATCCGCTCATTTAAAATGGGCTTGGCGGCCCGGCCGGAAGCCAACGGAGGTAGTATAACATATTTGTTTAGGTATTCAAAAATGCGCATATTTAAAAATCGTCACCGTAGATGTACTACATGTGCTTGGCTGTATAGAATAGATGAAAGTGTAATGTAATGTAATGTAATGTAATGTAATGTAATGTAATGTAATGCAATGCAATGTAATGTAATGTAATGTAGCATAATGTAATGTAATGTAAAATCGAACAACAGTACCGTGATTATACTGCATAACACATACAAGTATAATAAGTTTTTTACGTGCGAGACAAAAAGTACATCTTGACACTGCTGTATTCTTCATACTTTTTAACTTGAAATATGAAGGTCTACTGTATTGCTATATTAATGCTTTAAAAACGCTATGGTGCTATTCAAAAATTATTTTTAAATCTAGCAAAACGGCATTACATAAGGCAGTAAGGATCTGCATCCTAATATCTTATTGTTCTATGCGCATATGAGAAATACACATAGTTATATCCATATATCTTCACCTGTACCTGTACCTATACCTGCATCTGCACATATGGTTTGTACACATGTGTATATATATATATATATCACATATATATATATAGATATGTGCATACCCTTCTGTTTATATATATATATATACACACACGTCGACATTTGTTTTTGCTAACGCAGAAAGAAAGAGTTCAAGAGAGGGAGAGTCGGGAGAGTGCGAGGGAGCGATGGAGCCTGAGAGATAGAGAGAGAGGGAGAAAGATAAAGAACATGAGACAGAGACAGCGAGAGAGAGAGAGAGAGAGACAGAGAGCAAGAGGTCAAACCCCTACAGCCTAGCCCTGGCGAAAGAAAGAAAGAAAGCGAAAGAGCGAGAGAGCGAGAGAGAGAGAGAGAGAGAGAGAGCGAGCGAGCAAGAGAGAGAAGGAAGAGGAAGGAAGGAAGGACTAAGAATGAAGGAACCAAAACATGCCTGTTCCATTTGAGACCACTTGTTTATGTCATGACATCTCTGTGGATTTCCTTCAACACATAGTTAGTTGCCCATAGCCCTAAACCCTAAACCTCAGGGAGGGCTACTTCTGTTGTGCTCGTAGTCCAGGTCCTGGGAGGGCTTTCCAAAGCAACCTAAGCTGTGTGTTGCCAAGGCGGGGATATGTGAGTTTGGAGGCTCCCAGCCCGGAGTCGGCTCGTAGTCTTAAAGCACTGTCAGGTTTTTCTTGTTAATAGCTGTCGCATGAGTTGTACCATGCTTAGTGTTGCGGTGTGCGCTGTTTTCAATACAAATGGAATGGGAGCATCGTGGTTGTTGTCATGTTCGCATTTGACGAATCCTTATATTGCCCTCTTGTTTGCAGTACTTTGACACCTACTCAGGGAGTACCACAAATGATTGCTGAGCCGTGGGGCTCGGTTACTGTGCATACAACCTCTCGCCTGGTGGTTTCTTGAAATCAGGATTCCTTTGCAGAATATCGAGGGCACTTTGCATTCAGAAACTCCCAAGAGATGCGTGGCTTTGTGGAGAGTCAAAGTCATCGCCGCTCAGGTTCCTATCGCATAAGGCACATTCTCAATCCTGAAGTCAAATTTCGCACGGCTCTTTGATGAATTAAAATCGGACCTAAGACTTTAAACGCTTACGACTCCGTTGTCCCCAAAGTGCACTGTCCTCCCCCCTTTCTCCGGAATCCCAGGAACCACAAGCCAGGGTTCCAAGCCACAGATTGAGAAGCCCTGAACCCTGGTTCTTGTTTTTTGAGGCTCTTACTAATTACAGGCTCCTAGCTACCAACCCTCCGACGCCTCAGGATTGGTGAAGCAGATGTTCGGCTGCAGAGCGTAAAGCCAGACCCGATTCTGTTTTTCCCCTGCTTCGTCTAGAAGGGTGCAAGGTTCGAGCTGCGGGTGCTTTCCCGATCCTGCTTCGCATGGAGGCTCTGCCCCCATCCTGTCTTACGTGTACGGCTGCGCAGCCCAAAGCTCTACCTCGATCTGCTTTGACAAGTGTGCGCAATCCCGAGCGGCTGATTTTCTCCGATCCTGTTTGACATACATGTGTTGACAACCCTAATGAAGCCCACAGCGGCTTGGGTAGATGGGGTTGTCAGGGAGT